CTGTCACCCAGAGGGGCAGGCAGAGACTATGGACTTCCATTTGGCACGATCCTGACATACCTCTTTCGCCTCCTTTACATCCATATATCTACGCATACATGCTCGTCGGTTAAGGGTACTTCCAACGTGGCCCATTTTCAAAATATCGCCAATTTGGTCGATAAACTTATATACTCTCTTTTGTTGAGTAAAAAAAGTGAAATGAGTGTATCATATTACTCGCCGAAACATTCACTTTCGTATTGCGTAATAAATAACTAGGGAACCTCGATTTTTGCCTTTTTGAACATCCAATGCAGAACAAAAATCCAAAAAATGTGATATATAGGTTGATGCAAGAGTAATGATAATGAATATCGTACATTTAAAATCATGTATCCAAAAATCAAATTTAAAAGAATTTGTGAATTGTGTCAGAGCTGTTGTGGCTCTGATGGCTGGGCGTTTGCCTTAAACTCCATAGTATTCGAACACCACTTACGCCATGCCGAGGATTTTGCTTTTTCTTAAGTTTTATCAAAAAAGAGAGGTAGAATGTACTCAGCAGTGGGTCAGAAATATGCTGCTTCTTTACTTTTTAATATGTATGTAATTTTTTTTTTGTTTAATATGCGCTTTGTAATAAAATCAAATAAACTATTACATGTTTTTCTAGTGCCAAGCAAAACCAACACACACAATTATAAACGCATACTTGAGCAAGATCTCCAATTCAAATTAAATAATATATAAACAACGAGCTAAATTAGTGCCGTTTCATTGATACAGTTGTGTCTGCGACATAATAATGAATGACAAATTAATAAACAAAGCTAGCTCAAGGATAGGCAATAAATTGTCAGCCACAACAAAAAGACCACGAATTCCAAACATAATTCCGAAGAAAGGACATACTCGTAGCTTTCATCGGCGCACGCGCTGGTGAAAGCTGACGCGTGATGAGCATCGACTAGGCTCCGGAGCCTATCGAAATTGACGGCGGTGATCGCACACGGAATCGCCTACGTGACCGGACAAATTGAAATCACTATGACACACGTATTACGGGGATCGAATTAAACAACAAGACAATGCTGTTACTGACCTCGGAGAAAGGCTTTGTTCGTTCGAGAAAGGACGAATGACTGCACGTCCACTACGATGTAAAAAGTAAAAAAAATTACGAAATTTGGAATGAAAGTACCAAAATACAATACTCTATTTATAGTTGTAGTTATTTTTATTGATAAAATGAAGTAGAATCTATTTCTAAAACAAAATCAATATTGTTAATGTACTTGAGACCGTTTTTCCACTACTTCGACATCTTCCGCTTGTGTAAGAAGACGTTATCGACAGCGCAGTGTGATTAACTGTAAGTAATGCCGTAAGTATCGGCATAAACAAATATTACTCCTCCTCAGATCCTAGTACTTGTGATATAAAGTAAGGTTGGAACCAAGTTGGAATGAAGTATCCGAAACATATTAAATACACACTTAAAATGAAACTAGCGTGTTCAATTAAAATGCCCTTTTTTAAGAGTTAAGTGCTGCATTGTAGATACGAAACTTATATGCGTGTATGTAGCACAAGTGCTAAAATTAAAAATTTTGTCAATTTTAATATACTTAAATAAAATGAGAAGATCACCGATGTAGTCGAAGTCAATTAAATACGCATTATTAATGAAAACTTAAAAACTACTGGTCTTGATCAAACTAAATGGAACCACACGAGAAGCATCAGGTTTCAAATATAAAAAAGAATCATCAAAATCGGTTCACCTAGAAAAAAAGTTCACACATAAACAAATACAGTCGAATTGAGTAACTTCTCTTTTTTGAAGTCGGTTAAAAATAGGTTAAGGAATACAGAATGTTATAATTTTTATTCCTTACCAGTTACGAGCTGTTTACAGTTCACAACTGGACTTATTACCTTTTCCACAGTAGGAAGGATTTATCGTAATTGCTTTACTTGACAGGTAGATTAACGACCGCAATATCAGATTTCTCGGACCTTTAATGCTACTTCTCGTGACCGGTCTGGATTTTACCCCCTTTTTTCCCTCTCTTTCTTTTATAAATTAAAATTATCAAATGGAAGTCACAACACCTTTGCCTCTCATAATATTCACGAGATGACATCAGATGAGATAGGCTAGGGTAGAATATCGTATAACACCACAAAGCATTTTTAAACAGGCAACATTAACTACAGTAAAAATTCCGTTATGTTCGTTACTTATATCCTAGTAAAATGATAAGGTGAAAATACAATCGTTTTTGATGAAATAAGCAGGTGCAACATCATTGTAGTAAGTTTTTTGTGAAGGATATGTAATAAGAAAAAGTTTAACGCAAAATTTATTATCTACTTGCAAAGTAAGAAAGTTAAAATAGATATTTGTTCGAGATTTGATGAAATAGAAATTTGGACAAGTGTATTTATTGACTTGCAGCGATTGCGCAACAGACTCAAGCATTCGAATGCCCGTAACCAAACCAAGAGTAAATTAAGATGCAAGCGATTTTTTATTAAATGTTCCAAGATTTTTGCCAAAGTACAAGAAAGGGCAATAGGTCGGTAACTGGAAGGGTCATTGCTAGACTTACCTGGTTTGAGAATGGGCAAAATAATTTGGGTTTTCCATTCAGCAGGAGGATCACCAGTAATATAAATAAAATTTAAAATGGATAGTAAGACAGTTTTAGTGTTCTCACTACTATTAATTATAAACGAATAAGGAATCCCATCAATACCTGGTGAGGAGTCTTTAAGGCCATTGAGTACAGTAAACAATTCCTGAGAAGAAAAGGGGGAATCAAATTTATCATTTGTTTTTAAAAAGCAGAATTAAAAACTAGGCATTCATCATAAGATGGGACTGTTTGTCCACAAAAGAACCACTAATACAAAGTTTAGGCATATTTTCTTTGGTTTAGGGCAGTATTCTTATACTTTATAGTAGGTCGTCTGTGAACTTATTATTTTGGAATTCAGTGGAAGTGCGAGCGCTAAATAAATATGGTCCCCTAATGACCCCTGCGGTGAACTAGTCGCGTAATGTGAAGTGAATGACCACAATTTTTATATTACCATACTAAAAAGAAACAGGTGTTTTGCCAACAGTCGAGATCAGAGTAATGACTGAAATTTTGTTGAATATTTTTTGTTAGTCGTGTTATAATAACATAATATATATTACAATTGTAATGTATTATTGTATTATAAATAAAAGTAAAAGTATGCGTTTGTTTGCATGTTTTCCTTTTACATATCACGCTTGAACATATGGATGGATTCAAATAAAATTTTGCATAAAATTCAATTACATCGTAGAATATAATACTTTTGAAAGAATAACTATTTAAGTTTAATTTAAGCCCAGCGAGGAGGGCGGGTAGTATGAGTAAATATAAATACCACGTGACAATCGTATACATAAATCTAATATCACATAAGCTGTATCTTGTCAGTCTGTAATTATAATACTTTTTTTTTTCTTTTAAACCGAAACAAATCAATGGGTGCCCTGCTGCTTGGCGGCAAAAATAGATAAGGAATGGTACCAAAACGCAAGGTCTCTTGGGTAATTCCTCTGACGAGACCAGATCTTGCAAACCCTAATGTCGCAGCAGAATTTAGTCGTATTTACATATATTCGAATAACTTTTTAAATTTAATCAGTATACAACTTTCGGCATTCGTAAAAGGTATAGAGGAACCAAAGCGTATTCTCTCGGAAGTTATATAACTGATGAGTTTATATGCAAATCGAACATTTCTATTATAAAATTTTGATTGAAATTACATAACATAAATTCTGACTATGCGTTTTAGCATATTGAACACCGTGAGTTTATTATTTTGGAGTGAATGCTTCACGGCGAAAGAAACAGTTATGTAAAACTATTAGAAATGAAAATAAATCTTTAATGGTTATTCTTATCTTTTGCTGTGTTAGTTTCTAACACGTAATTCATGTATTAGCGTGAAAAGAACCCAGCATATGGTTTTAATTTTTTTGACAACTGATAATAAATTCATATAATATAACAATGAGTAAGGGATCTTTAGTGGTTAAAATTTACGATGACCAATTCATATCGAGACATGATATTATTTATATATACGCATGTTAATGTGCACTGAATTTCTAATTACTGTTAGTATCCCCTTGCATAACTTTGAGTAGCTATTATTGTATTTGAATTGTCAATATAGCAGTGTAAGTTAGATGGTCTACTAAAATCATTGGTAAAGTAAAGTTACAGCCTATATACGTCCCAATGCACACAGGGCACAGGCCTCCTCTCATTTCTGAGAGGGTTTTAGGGCAATGAAGTGTTCGCCGCGCCGCCCTAATGCATGTTGGCGAACTACACGTCTTCGAAATATATTTTTTTATTTCTTATTCTTCAGACAAGCAGGTTTCCTCGCGATGTTTTCCTTCACCGCCGAGCGCGTGGTAAATCAGCACTTAAAATTGCAATTAACAATTTCATTGGTGCCGGCGGGGATCGAACCCGGGTTACTCGCGTTCTGTTATATTTACAGCGAGCGTTAACCATCTGAGCTACCACGGCTTTTTAAATCATTGGTATAAACTGATAATATTTTGACATTTAATGACCGCGTATACCTAATAGTCAGAAGACCTGCATACTGTGCGACTGAATTCATGAATTCCCAGTTAGAGATAATATTTACGCAAACATACAAATTACCTTTGTACAAGTGTTGACGTTTTTGAGTCTATGGTTGTTGTGATTGTCCTCGTATCTTTAACAATGCATCCAAGCTTACCTCCTGTCTTTCACATAAGAATGACATCAGTTAAGGGAACGTTTGATTAAGTGTCTCAGTTTCAGCGCGCACGTATCACACTGGGAACAAGTTGTTGGGTGCTACATTCGCGAGTTAGAACATTATACGAATAGTTGTAAATTTGCAACATCAGGTAGGATAAATTGCACCTGTACTGCTTTTATTGGTATGATAATAGTGTCGCGTACCTGCTCGTCCACTTTCGGAACGTCGGTGGCTTGAGTACCGCTAACGACCTCGTTGCCCCGCCCGCCTCGTCTCGCCGGCCGCACGGGACACACACTTTTCGCATGCTCGGGTAATTCTATCCCGTATTGTTTGGGTCCTTTAAAAAGTTTACAGTCCACTTCATCCACACCACTATTCAAATCATGCACGTTATCGAACACAGCATCGTTATCGTTACCAGCGTCGTTGGAAACGTGACCCGAGTCGTCGCTGCAGTCGGAGTGTGTATCGGAAATCTTTTCCATAATGTTCTTATGTAAATCCATCTTTTCAATCTGCGTGCATATTTTGGTGTCATCTCGCGGTTCTATATATTTAACTTGACGGCCTACGAGTGTGCTCAAGTGATTATGGAAAGTAGTGTTTGCCACACACACCTCCTTATGTATTGCCGGAATTACTTTACAATTAAGAAACTGTGTGGGTTCACTTTTGGATTCTAAAGCGGTCTTATATTCCAATTTCTTCACAAGATACTTAACAGGTGACAATGTCGAATCGATTTCTTCTGGTTCGTTTCCACTTCGTTTAGCCTCTGGCATTGCGACGACTAGATCTCTTTTGTTATTTATTTTTTTCTCTTGGAGCTTTGCTCGCACTGCGTTTATTTCATCGGAGTAATTCCTTATCGATAACTTTGGAGATGAGGTTTGTTTTTTGTCCAGAATTTCTCTTTTGGTTTTGTCACACTGTCGTTTGGAATCAGTCTTCAAACTAAGCTGAGATTTTTGTTTTATTTGCTTTGGTTCGAATTTTTCTGAAGTTTTTCTTGACGCAGTTGACTTTTTTTTCTGAGCACACTCTCTGGCTTGGTCTACATTATTTAGATCAACAGGAGTGGGTGAAAATAGCGCTCTTGTGCTACTGAATTTGTTCTGCGACATTTGACTTCTGATCACCGGGATCTTACTGGGAGAGCCCGCGATAGAAGTAGTTGATTTTGTTCGTTCCAGATTGGTTGTAATTACGGTTTCATTTCCAATTTCCCATACGCTTTTAGCTTTTTGCATTTGTGATTTTGGCATTTCTTTGCATTCTGTGCTCGTTCTTGTTTTTTCAATAACTACTTTTGGTTTTATTTTCTTTGGATCGCTAATTTTCTTTTCAATCTTTTTTGGCACTGGTTTCGTTTTCGTAATAACCGGAACTGGCGTTGAAGGAGGGTTTGACAAAGTCTTTTTAAGAATTCTTGTTTTTACGTCAAGCTTCTTTAAGTCCTCTGTTTTAATGCAGTTAGGCCGGGAAGTATTTTTTGAGGAAATTTTGTACGTTGCATATTTATCAGAATTATTTTTTTCGTTCTGTATTGATGGGAATGGCATTAATGGAGATAATAATTCCTTACTTTTCATATCGTCAAGATTCCAGAGGCTCGTTGTTTTATCAATTGATTTATTTCTAGTCACTTTATTTCGTAACTTATTGTCACTTTCCGGGTCAGAATTAGACTTTTTTAAAATACAACGGGATTCAATTATGCTACAAGTTTTAGATTTTTGTAATTTAGGCACAATAAACGTACTACTGTAATTAACATCAGCACTGAGTGAAGTACTTGAAGAAAATTCTGACAAAATTTTATCAAAAGATTCCAAAGCCTTGTTTAATTTAGATTCATTAGAATCACTGTCTATTTTATCGTTTTTTTGCTTATCCAGAAAAGTAACGTTTTCATATATCGATGAATAGCCTTTTGTCTCTTCCCGCAATTTATTTTTTACACCTGTGTTTATAATTGGTATGTTTACATTTTCATATACACGCTGACTCTTAGAAACAGCTAATTTACCGGTCGCGATATGACTGCTTATTTCAATAATAGGAGAATTTTTCTGCACGTTATCACTACAATTTTTCACAAGGGGTTCACTAACAATCCGTTTCTCTAAACAGGCGGCAATCGCAGTCACTTTCCCGCCTTTGAGTTCGCTCGAGTTTTCGGAACCGACTGAAAAGGTCCTGTAGAGTTTTTGCATAGCCTTATTGTGCGCAGAAGGAGCGGCAGGGTGCTTCTCAGATGACTTCTGCCCGCCGAATATATTGAACACTTTCACTGCGGGCATTGCCGGCGGCCCGGCGCGGGCTTTCGTTTTAACGGAGCGTAGATGCGCGCGCGCGTTGTGGCAGGCGGCGGCCGTATGTCGACTCGCGATATCAACTTCGCGGCAATAAGAAAGTCAATGTCAGTGAACGACTTGCTATACGTGCTCGCGCATCCTAAATAATCATTCAATACAGGCAATCGTTGACATAATTTGTAGTCTTGATGCAAAGGAACGTTACGCAAGTACACGAGTTGTGTCTAGGAAAGTTGCAGATAATTTTTTGGATCAGATATAATGCCTCTATAAAATTGTACCAACCCATTTCATAAGCTATTAAATTTAACAGGGTTACCGAAATACGATTGTGAAAATAATGTATTTTTTCAACAATCTTAACCCTGTTAATAAACCCCAAAATTTAAGTTATAGGTGTCGTAAATAAATTGGAATAAGGTTGAATAAACAATTGGAATGTAAAAAAACTTAACGATGTCGTAACCCAATTTGTTAAGAAAAAAAGAACACGGTTATTCTGATTCTAAATCAGATACAGAACAGCTGTCGATAAATTATGCTATATTACACAGCGTGATATAGGACAAGTAAACTGATATAAATCCTATAAACAAAGTTACTAGAGCTAGAAAATTGTATATGCAAGTCAGGTTATAAGACATACAAATAAATATATAACAGGTATACGTACATTATGCTATTATGTGACCAATTAAACCGAATGATATAATATTTTATGTAGGCACTTTGACAATTCTTAATAAGATTTATAATTTGTTTATACAAACTTGTAATATAAAATATTTACCAAGAAAAATAAGCTAACCCTAAGTGTTTATAAAAAGACCATTTCATCACTAACCAATAAATTATAAATCAGTTCTTTTTTGACGATAAAATATTTATATATTATGTAAACTATGCTGTCCGCAGCTTTTATAAGAATAATAAATTTGGACATATTTTTTTAACCATTTGTGACAAACAAACGAACAGTTCGCGTGACCGTAGCGACTACGGACAACCGACATCCACACACACCAAACTGCAACTAAGTTTAAAAAAAAAAGGCCGCAGATGAATTGTCACCTGTGATTACTAAGACGTAATTCCTTTCAGCCAGTAATTATAATAACTTCCTTACCATTTAAAGGGTTTTAACTAACCAACGCAGTCGGATTCCCCGATATAAGATTTTAGCGTTAAGGAAACGTCTTATAATAGTGATAATGTCGTGATTTCCTAGTTACGCGATTGTAACTCAGCTTTGGGGCTGCTTCTTGTCGCCGGTCTGAGTATTCTACGCCAGGTGTAAATGTGATGGGTATATCGCCATCTATTCGAAGCAACTAAACCTTTTCGGCATCTCTCATAACCGCCTCACTCAGGAGACGACGAGGGTGATGGATACTCTTATCCGCTATCAAGCGGGAATATATGAATTAAAATATATTTTATAATAATAATATAATAATATTCCACAACTATCACACAACGCCATCTAGTCCCAAGCTAAGCAGAGCTTGTGTTATGGGTACTAGACAACTGATAAACATACTTATATATTTCTAAATACATAAATATTATAGATAAATTACACCCAGACACAGAACAAATTATCGTGCTCATCACATAAACATTTGTCCTGGGTGGGAATCGAACCCACGACCTCCGGCATAGCAGTCAGGGTCACTAACCACTAGACCAACAGGCCTGTCTATACTGCTACTGTTACATATATTGTCAAAAATATATGTAACAGTAGCAGTTGCTATACGTCGATGCTATCTTTTAATTTTCTCTAGAATAAACTATGTCAATTTTAAAACATTAGAGTACGTAAGTACGTACGTAGAGGCGGTGATGATGATGCCGATGATGACTGTAATTGACAAATCGCTCAATATATTAATTTACCGTAAGCGACCGTCAATAAACATGTAAACAACAAACAGAATTGGCACATATCGATTTTCGACCAGACTTAAATTAAAATTTAACTTTTATATTTTTGTAATCTACTATCGATTGCAGCTAATATAAATGTAAGTTAAATGAAAGTTTAAAATGCATAATACAGCCACTTTGTTCTTAATTGAAACAAAAGGTTTCAACAAAAATATTATTAATACCTCGATATCTCATAATTCTTAAAATTAAATTCTAACAAAAGTTTCAGTCATTTTAAAATAGTTACTTACATTTTATTTCCAGCCAGTATAAATTACTTACAGCATAATTTTGCATTGTTTATGTGTAATAGTTTAGTGTAATAGTTACGTTACTTACCTTTTATTATCTTTATGTTTCGAATAAACAATTTTGATGGTATTTCTTCCAGAGAAAATTTAGGAGGGCAGCTCGACATAATACCATCTACACAACTAAGAATATGAATTGATCATAATTAACAACGTCAAGTCTCGGACGTTAATTAACACATTGTGATAGTCAACTTGATCTCTGAAACCGTTGGCATTGACTCATCACGCCATATCTTACCTAATTGGATTAAATATTATATGCATTAAAAAGTCGAGATTCGATATTTACCATTAACTTACTCCCGGTGCAAGTAAAACGTAATATAATATCAGTAAAATTATTTATTATTTCATATTTATTTCTGTAATTTTATATGCATATTTATTTTTCTTGTTATTGTTTATTCATTATTTTTAATATTGTTTAGTAATGAACTATATAAAATGAAATAGAAATAGATTTAAATATATTGTATAATGTCTTAAAATTATATATGTAATATGTGTTTTCATTCTCACGAAATATTATCCAGCCTTTATAAATACGGACTTGATGTAACTTCTAGTCGAAAAAAGATCTGAGTTAGCTACGAGTAACGCTTAAAGATTTACTAATAAATAACTTGATGTAGTTACAGGGTGGTAACTTGTCAGATTAAAAATAGTTTACTTAATATAATAACTATTCATTATTAGTGATAGTATGGTTATATTCATTATGAGCATAAAGAAGTTTTGTGTTAGTATTAGATATGAAATCACCATATCGAAAGCCATGTTTTCGAGACTGCTTCGAGATATAATGCATTGGATGGAGTGACGGACACAGAGTGTTTTCATTTGATTTCAAAAATAATCAAGAACTAAAAGATCTGTAACAGAATCTGTAAAAAAATTGTATACACATTACTCCATTGCTCATATTCAAAGTGATTTCGGAACATTTAAAATTTAAAAAGTAAAATTATTACAACTACGCTACTCATGAGCGGAACCCTTATACTTTAATTCTATCCACCTATCCTAATGGGTCACAGTATCATAATCTATAATGTTTATCACATTTTCATTCAATTGGGATAAAAATTAACTTTATTCTTTTGATTGAAGTCTCAATTTTCAAGAAGTAAAATAAACAACTTTCATGTACATACTTCATTCATATGTACGAGTACGACTTACCATGTGTCGATTATTCGGTATCTTATATAATAATGATGACAAATTAAAATTAATCAAATTCAAACCTAAACTATTTTATGTTTAGATTTTTAGCTGTATTGTTATACAGCTAAAATCCGGATAATACTAGAACTGTAATACTGTGAATTCGTTAAACGATTAATATTGTAATGTTACCCTTACGCGTGTCTAAATACGCGCTAGGCCATTTTTTTACATGAAAATAGTATGGTAAAATTGTAATAAGGTAACAGAAGCCTCTTGAATGAAATGATCGTGCCTTAATTATTGTAAAATAATCTAGGCGTACTGTGTTAAATACCAAAAAATTTGGCATAATCAATCAATTTCTAATGCAATTAAACACTCTTTCACTAGAAACTGAAATTGCTTACTTACTTAACAGTCCGCGCGCTCGCCATTTAGATTTGTAAGGCATGTAAACAAGTAGAACTGTTGGTGGATTTCATTTTCTATTTAGCAGCTATTTCAGAGATTGTTAAGTAATTAAATATTCGATTTCTAATGAGATGCGATTACTGCTTTCTACTTATTAAAACTAATAAAACTATTTCCATATTTATGTATCATTATTTTTTGCATTGCTATAAACAACTGGCAATTAATTTTGTTAGCAGTTGAGTGGACGTTTGGTCAAGATCGAATCACGAGCGTACTAACAATATTATGTGTATATGATTCGCACGTCGTCTCTTCGAAATATGGGTTGATGAAATATTTCTTCGCTTAAAATGTTTAGGTTAAAAGTGTTGAAAAACGTTTTTTTTTGACAGCTTTAATCTAATTAATTAAATAAATTGAGAAATCCTATAACATTGATTAAGTTACGTTACGATACGTTAAGGTTGTTTTTAAAATCATAGTCCATCATAGTGATTGGTAAAATCAGAATCACACCATCATTCAGCAAGGAAATGCAGCCAATATTCTTGTCACAAGCTTAAAACTTTAAATTTAGGCTTCTTTTGATGCTGTAAACTTTATTATTTATTAGCCTGTAAAAAGCTTTAAGTGGACCTAGATTACAGCAAGTATCATTATTACAGAAACTGAACTTTATGCCGGCCGATCGATCGGCCCGCATATTATAGTTATTAAATTCAAATTACGACAAATGTTACGGATTATTTAAATAGTCCGGTTTTATCATTGATCATCGTAATCGATTCCGAACCTGGTTTCGACCAGTTCAAAGCCCAGTACCGATTTATGTAATATTACGAGATTTAAATATTTTAATTTCCTTATTTTTATTCCGCTGATTGCGTTATTAATTATTATTTATAGTCTAGAATCGATATTAAAAACATAAATACAGTGTTACTACCAAACAACACACGATTATTTTAGTATCATTTCCGCAAAGTTTCGATATTAAATTATAATTTTTATCACGAAAAGGTCTTTATTGGCTTTAACATTATGTTTTTATTGCGATCGTGATCCTTATGATTGAAGATATTTTTTACAAGTTTAAAAACGTATTGGGGCCAGTGGAAAAAATAAATAAAATGATAAGATTACATACATAGAAAA